TCGTCGTCGTCGTCGTCGTCGTCGTCGTCGTCGTCGTCGTCGTCGTCGTCATCACCACCATTACCATATCGTCATTTCATGATAGGATGTATGTACACGACGCGGATGGTCGTCAAGAAAAAGCAAGAGGAAAAAATGTTACGTTACGAATTGTCAGCATGTTGATCGCGTACTACTTTTGTGCGCTCGAAATAAATGCATGCAAACATATATAACAATAGAAAGTTGAAATTGAATATCTTACATATCTTATATTTAAAAATTGACACGAGTTATAACGATTTGATATTCTCGTTAATCGTCATCCCGTTAATCGCGTTTGCACTGCTGCACGCGGGTCTCACATGCAATATCGCGCAGTTCTTTTGAAACAAAGTGCAAACAAATTACGGATGATAAAATCTTTATTTGACTACGTGCTTATAGCAATCTGTCAAGACACAAGTATATATCAATACACGCTTAAAACGTATATACTTATAAACTGTACGTGTAAAATACACATCATCATTATGATATAATAATCGTATGGTATATAAATATTTTTTTATATTTACGATGATATTTACCGAATTAACGCTACCGAATTAATTAACGTTAAGGTATATAGATCAAGTTTGGTCATTTTGCGGTAGATGGAACCACGATCATTTGTCAACCTTGCACACACGGAATCATCGAATCGAATCGAACATATATTCACGCTGCAACAAATTGTCAACTATCAATTTCTTGTAATAACAATATACAGTAAGATGTAGCAACACATACACACATGTCTGCCTATTTTTTGGACTTTTCTACGTTCTGGGAGTTGAGTTTGCCTCAGACTTTCAATCGAAACTTTGATTAATTGGCAATTTGTTATATGATAGCGATTCTATTCGTAACCATTTAACCTTTAGTTTCAAGTATAGTTTTTTAATCGATCCTATATATATTTTTGTGATAAAAAATCAACTAATATCGATTGTATTTAAGGGGGGAACCTGGTTTATAAGGCTAAAAAAAGATTTTTATGAATTTTTTTTATTGACAATAATGCAGTTGAGGTTTCTAAATTTTTTACAATTTTTAACTGCTTATTATTTGAAGAGGTAAAAAAAAATTTTTATATTGTAAAATAATTGCAAAATGGCGCCGTGGTGTATCGCGCTCTATAATCAGAACGCCTCGCTAACAATCTGCGGGAAAGATAGAGAAAAAACTGATTGATCAATCGACTTGATTCAAAGTGCGTTAGCTGAAGAATGAACAACCATTCTATGTGAACCAAGAACATTATTGGTAAAAACATTAATTGAAATATATAATTGTTATTGCATAAAAACGGAGGATACTTTATTTACTTAAATTAATTTTGCTCTACCGGTCTTAATCTATTTGTCGTCGGACAAATCTGAGCTTGGAAAACTTTTAACAGTTGCAAAATAAACGTTTTGCTGAACGTGTGTGGCCATTTAAAGAACATTTATACGTGTTCCGTTTTGAAGAACTTTTTTAACTGGTGCGCACATTAATAATGCAATTATATAGAGTGAGACAAGTATATTTTGTTTCACTAAAACTTATTGCACGAGTGTGAACCAGTTCAGGAATTTTTTGGAAAAAGAGTAGACGTCATAGATGGTATGCATAAAGCTTCTAGAACATTCTCGCACGCATGTCTCAAAGACGTCATAAACACGTTCAAAAGACGTGAAAAGTAGGAATTTTAAATGTCTTTATCATAAAAACAAAACGTTTCTATAATAGTTTTTAAACGTTATTTTATCGGAAAAGAAACGTTCCATCGAACGTTTTTCGAATGGACATTTTTACGCATGAGAAACGTTTCTAGAAATCGGTTATAAAACATTTCTGAAACGTGTATGTGTGTGCTACCTGGGTATACTTTCGATAAGGATAAATAATAAAATTACTTAAAATCGTTGGAAGAATTCATAAATGGGGGAAAAGAAATCGGGGAGCAAAAAATCGGAACGTCTCTCGATACACTCGCGCTCGCGCACAGAAAAAAAAGAAAGTGTCAAATAAAAACTTTAATGTTCAAATTAACGCGTTCATTAATTGTTTCGTATACATGCAACAATTAATCTATATAATCTTATAAGAATTTCAACTTTTTGTTTTATTTTGTTTTCTTGGTTGAAATATATAAAATAATTTCATTCAAGCAAATTTTCTTCGTTTAACACAATATAATCTTATTTCAAGATTTTCACGTTAAAACTAAAGATATTTTCAAATCAAGAATATTCTCTTTTTCTATGCGCATATACATTGTAAACACACCACATATATGTATATCGTACGTCGTGGTCACAATCCTCTTGTCATAATTATAATCTGCAATATAACACGTAGGATACGGGGTATACGCGTTATAATCCTTGGAGCTATTACGAAAATCGAGATGGAACGCATTCGCGTGATTGGCTTTGCAGAAGGACAGATTAGAAAGGATAAATTGACGCAACGTACATATTAAACGTAATGTCCGCGCGTCTGTGCGCGTTCTCTCTCTCTCTCTCTCTCTCTCTAAATGAAATATGCCTACTTCCGTTGCTTACTATACATTTTCAAATCATATATCTGTAAAATTATATTTATTTATCTATAGGATGATAATATGGCTGTAATGTAAGACAAATATGCTTAAACTCATATAATATTATAATATTATAATATGTAATAGATATTGTCAAGACTTTTACTGTTACGTAACATCGATAAAACATTTGCGCATAGTTTAACGTACGCGTATCATATCAAAGCCAAAACGCTAAATAATCTTTAAATATTGGCAGCAACTTTGTATTACAACTTTGCAGGCGCTACCGCGTCGGCGGAAAAAAGAAAAGAAAAAAAAGAACACGAGACATTTAGTGACAGACAACAGAGGATCGTGACGAAAGAAGCTGTCGAGATTACGGAACAACTTAATCGAACAAGATCAAAGTTATGATCGATGTTAATGGTAAGCATGAAAAACAGAACGTCGAATATTTTATTGTTATATATCGCACGAATAATTTTTTGCGCAAGATACACACACACACACACACACATATATGTAGATCATTGGCATAATTTCTTTACTATTGCAAATAATTGATATATTTTATAAATAACTTACAGTTTATTTCCTTCTTAGGGGTTAACGATAAGGAAAAGTCGGATGTTTTATGGCAGAAAATTCATACTGATCAAAATGAACATCTGGTATAGTCCGCTCTCCATCTCTTTTCTAATTTTCCTGGACGCGTTAAATCTAGAATATTACAATAATTATGCGTATCTCTCTGTTATTTGCAACATCGAATCTCTGTAACTTACGTGCTTACACGTACAATTACAATACATAAATACGGTTTTTTAGCGTATTTACGGATTCGAGAAAAGTTCGCTGAGGACCACCCTGACATACGTCACGTACATATTGTCTATCGGATTGGTTCGGCTATTGTTTCATTGGTATCCTCGGCTACATCTGTACGCGACTCACCGAAAATGTGCTTTAAATTGCGCGACGAAAATACTTGCGATAGTAAGTTTTTCTTTTCTTTTCTTACTGTTATTCTAGGCTGTTACTGATGTTGCATTATGCATTTTATAATAATTAGTTATCACCATTATCAGTTGCAACCATATCGTATTTGGAAATATGAATTATGTATAATAAGGTATTATATGTGTGTAATAATAACATATATATAAATGTAGGATGATTATCAAGGATACGAGTCATACTTTGTACGAAATGTTCGGGAAATTTCTACTAAAAATATAAGGTAAGCGAATGTATATACATACATCAATTAATATACCAAAAGAGTAATGTAAGGCCAAAATGACGAATTTGAGAGACTGATCTTTAAAACTAGCTGCTCTCATGTTTTACTTTTAGCGCGAAAAGCTTGTTGGCCACCGGTTTGGGTATCGTTGACCAAAATATCTTAGAGAAAATTAAGGACAAAAAGCTAAAAATTAATTTAGAGAACGGCACGCGTCGCGAGGTTTGCGAATACAAGGCTTTCTGGTGCAAAAAGAAATGTTACATCTGGGACACTACGAAAAATATATTTTCAAGGCTCGTAGAGCTCGACAATGGTACAATGTGTTCCGATCTCCACCTCTCGCGGCGTAGCGGCTTGTCTAAGGAAGAACAGTTACTTAGGTGACATTTCCAAATATACTCGTAACTCTTATATACGATGAGCCGCTAGAGAAGTGGAGTTTTCTTTCAATTAAGAAACGTTTTGTCTTTGTCACAGGCGCATCGTTTATGGAAATAACAATATTGTTGTTCCGCTTCAGAGTATCGGCGTATTGCTACTGCTCGAAGTTTTAAATCCGTTCTATATTTTTCAAGTATTTACCTTGTCCGTATGGTTCGCGGAGGGGTATCTGTATTATACTATCGCTATAGTATTAATGTCACTGTTTGGCATAACGAGCTCTATAGTGCAAACGCGTAAGGTTCGTAGAAAAAGGAATAAAACTTTTGTCTCTCCCGTCCGGATAAAACCGATTTTATATATTGTGGAGTATTTTTAGAACCAAATAAATCTACGCGGTACCGTTGCATCGTCAGAAAGTGTACGTGTACTTCGCGACACTGGTATTTTCGAGAATATCTCCTGTGTGGAGTTGGTACCCGGTGATGTTATAGAATTACCGAAACGTCAAGCGACTCTCGTATGCGACGCGGTTCTATTAACTGGGCAGTGTATATTAAACGAATCCATGTTAACGGGTAAATATGTATCTCTCAAATATCTATGTATATCTATATCTATATTCTTTTCCAATAAAGGCTCTCTCTCTCTCTCTCTCTTTCTATACACTATATCTTTCACATATAATCTGTTGAAATTTGCTCGCTTTACCAATTTTAGGTGAGTCTGTACCGGTGATAAAAACATCTTTACCATTACACCATACATTGTACGACGCCAAAGAGTATACGTATCACACGTTGTACAGCGGTACTACTATAATACAAACCAAGTATATACGAAACGCACTTGTACACCTTTACTCTTGTATATAATAGATACAATTACAATTAAGGTATGGATAATTTATGGATAATATTTGCAGGTATCACGGTGATCAACCGGTTCTCGCGAGGGTCATCAGAACTGGTTTTCTGACCAACAGAGGTGCTCTGATTGCCGCTATACTATATCCACCTCCAGCAGATTTCAAATTTGATAAAGATTCATATAAATTTATTGGCATTTTGGCATTTATCGCAACTTGTGGCTTTATATATACCGTAATAACTAAGGTAATTTCTAAGATTTTCAAACACAGATGCTTGCGTATAATATATTTGTACGTTAATTGTATGTATATTATTTATCTGTTTGATTAAATCGTTTTTATACAAAGCTAAAAGACATCATGCAACATTCTGCTGTAATAATATAATAATAAATAACAACAACAACAACAACAACAACAACAACAATAACAATAATACAATAAATAATTTAGGTCTCAAGAGGAATTTTAGCTAGCGATATAGCGATAAAAGCATTAGATATCATTACAATAGTTATACCGCCGGCATTACCAGCCGCCATGACCGTAGGAAAGCTGTACGCTCAAATGAGATTGAAACGTGCACAAATCTACTGTATTAATAACAGGGTCATCAATGTTTCCGGCAGCATAAATTGCGTCTGTTTCGATAAGGTGAGATGAGAGAAGGTAACAGAGGGATTAATGTAACAAAAAGAAAGAGAGAGAGAGAGAGAGAGAGAGAGAGAGAGAGAGAGAGAGAGAGAATTAAAAAGGAAATTATGTCGCAGCCACGTGCTCGCGGGACAGGCGAGCAATTCGATAACACGTTAACGATGACAAACGCTTTCTTTCATCTTTATCATTTTGACATCATATCCACAGACGGGGACATTGACCGAGGATGGATTGGACATGTGGGGCGCTGTAGCATGTACGAACGGTGTCCTCGCCGAGGCTGAGACGGATATATCCAAACTTAAAGATCATCCTCTTTTCGAAGGGATGTTAGTTTGCCACAGTTTAACGCTTATCGATGGAGAACTTTGCGGTGATCCTTTGGACGCAAAGGTAAAAGATATATACATTTTACAATTTCACTACTTTTATCACTGCGACCGCTTTGCCTTTCGACATTTCGATGTACATACGTGCGACGACACGCTTTACAGACATCGATCATCGAGTTACATCACGTTACAGATGTTTGAAAGTACCAAGTGGTTATTGAAAGATTCGGATTGCATACACGTAAATAAACTAGACTCGATAGCACCGATTGTCGTGAGCAGGCCACCGGAGAGCACGAACTTGACGAAAAATATGAACGAAATCACGGAGATTGGTATAATACAGCAGTATCAGTTCTCGAGTTCCTTACAACGAATGTCCGTGATCGTACATGCATCAGGATCGGATTATTTCAAAGCTTACACAAAAGGCTCTCCCGAGATGATAATCAATCTAAGCAAAGCGGAAACCGTACCGAAGGACATTTCGCTCACTTTGGAGCGATTCACGAGACAGGGATTTCGTGTGATAGCGATGGGCCGCAGAGCTACAGTTTTTAAAAGTAGCGCAGAGGTAATATCTTCTATATATTCGTGCAAATTTTTTTTTTCCAAATGTGCAAATGCGCGACAGTCGCAGAGTGCAAGATTTAAATATATCTCAACGATGTGATATATCTCCCAAAGAGTACATACATATACGCATATAATATATTATATGTATTTATATTCGTAGATATCGAAATTGTCTCGAGAAACGGTTGAACGGGACTTGGAATTCTTGGGGCTGGTCATTCTGGAAAATCGATTGAAGCGACCGACGGCACCAGTGATTACAGAATTAAGGGAAGCCAATATACACGTGATGATGATTACAGGTTTGATCGAATAATGCAAACCACGCTTACGAATCTCTCTACCGCGATGCTGTGCACCCACAATGGATACCGTGTATTATAATGGATTCGACCTTTGATTTTTAGGAGATAATATTCAGACTGCGATAAGCGTCGCGAGAGAATGCGGAATACTTTCGATCGAAGAACACATCGTAGACGTGAGCGTAGCCTCCAACGAGGAAAAGGATCGTCCAGAGATTATTTTCAACATTCAGTCTCCATCTCCAAGATTGGTAAACTTGAAAATTCTCTCGCATTGAGAATTTTGGATAGAATAGCTGTTCGCGTGGCGAATCTCGTCCACGTACACAAGTGAACAACGTTCAATTCCTGCAATTTTTTTCCAGAGCTCGCAAGCTCAAGATCACTTGGTGTCACCGACGATCAAAGATGTAGAAAGCGGTATAGCCAATTGTAATTACAGATTTGCTTTAACGGGCCAAACCTGGCAGGTGATGCGAGAATATTATCCCGATCTTGTAGATCGCGTTTGCATACGTAGCGCGATATTCGCCCGAATGAGCAGCGATCAGAAGCAACAATTGGTTGTGGAGCTAATGCAACTGGGTTATTACGTAGGTACGTACACGCACGCGTATATCTCTCGGCAGCGCCGCGGTGAAGGAATATTTTTGTAATAAATCCATATTTTTGTAATAAATGTTCCAAGCGAACGATATACGTAAGCTATAGTGATGTTGTGAAAACTATATTTTGCGTATCGATGCTTATAGCCATGTGCGGAGACGGTGCTAATGATTGCGGAGCGTTAAGGGCCGCGCATGTCGGTATATCGCTCTCCAAAGAAGAATCTAGGTGAGAAACATTTGTACTCGCAATATATTACGCAACGCAATATATTACTCCTCAATTTTAATCGAATTTTGGTTTGCATTAATTAAATTATATCTTTGCAGCGTGGCCAGTCCCTTCACCTCGAGAATACCCGATATAAGCTGCGTCCCAAAAGTAATACGGGAAGGACGCGCCGCTTTAGTTACGTCGTTTGGAATTTTTAAATTTATGGTCGCGTATTCTCTTACCGAATTTCTGTCCGCCATAATATTGTATTCCATAGACTCGAATTTGACGGATCTACAATTTTTGTTTATCGATATCTTTTTAATCATCAACTTTGCCTTCTTCTTCGGGAAGACTCGTGCGTGTAAGGACAAGTTATCCAAGACCACGCCGATGACGAGTCTGCTAAGCTTCACTCCGCTCTTATCTCTAACGATACACATGCTCGTAATGATTGTTTTTCAAGCGACAGCGTATCACGCCGTTCGACAATTTTCATGGTTCACCCCGTTCGTTCCCACCAGCGATACCCTGCAGTACACATGTTACGAAAACTATTCGGTCTACTGTGTCTCCATGTTTCAATACATCACGATGGCGATTATATTTTCACGCGGAAAACCTTACAGACGCGCGATTTATACGAACGGCGCATTCATGTCCTCCATACTTGTATTGACGGCCGTATGCACATATATTACGGTTTATCCCGCGAATTGGGTGGTGAACGCGCTGCAATTGATCCTACCACCCGTCTACGACTGGAGGCTCGCTATCTTAGCGCTCGCTCTAGCCAACTTTATCATTTGTTTCGTAATAGAGAGTTTCGTAATAGAGCGTGTCATTGAAGATATCTTGAGGAGAAAATTATACAAGCCGGAAAAATCCAAGAAACGATATCTAAAGATGGAATACGAATTGAAGAATTGCGAAAGTTGGCTGAAATTCAACAAACAACTGCCATTATTACCTAGCCCTAGGCTGCGAAAGGGAGATGATTCGCGAAATGTCGCGTGTATTACACGTAACAGCCATTGTCGATATCCGATAGGTGATCAAACGACGAATGATTTTAGCAACTCGAGCAAGTTACCGATCAACGAACGGACCAATAGGGAAAATGGATTCGAAAATTTTGGCTTTGCCAACGACCAAGTATAGCGATAGTGAAAAAAATGTATACCGAATTAGTATTCCTTAAAAAATAAGCCAGTCCTAGAAAGATGGCTGAGTGCGGGAAAGTAATATTTGTAGTATGTGTGTGTATACGAGATTTGTGTAGATATAGAAGATGAAAGAGAGGAGAGCGGGGAAAGAGAGAAAGCAGCAGTATTTATGTAAATACAATTTAACTGTACGTTAACGTTACATCATTTTATCACAGTCAAACGCAATTTTTATCACTCGTTACAGACAACACACGTATGTCGTAAATCGGGAGATGTAACGTTCCGCGAAAAAAAGGATAATTCTCTTTAAGACATATATATGTATCTCTCTCTCTCTCTCGATTGAGACACTATGTTCACTGGGATGTTTGACAATATGCGCGAGAGAATTGACGACAATGACGACTATGTATCACATATATATATATATATATAGGACTTTCTCAGCATGGCAGTGTACAGCACTGTATGGTGTGTGTCAGATTGATACATTTGGTTCTCGGGAAAAAGACTTGTAGTCAAAGACTTTTATGTATCTCTGTCCCTGAGAAAAATTTGATTCGCGCGATAGAATCGCCAAGTTAATCCATTGGGCTAAGTTAACATTCGAAACTTTTTTTCTTTTCATTCGCGCTTGTCTCGTTATCGCAGCACGATACATTCAAATCGTATTACGTCGTACGATATGTTAATAAAAATTTATCAAGACTCGCGCTCAACATAGACAAACCGATCGTACAACATTCAACATGCGACAACGTCGTTATTTAATAATAAATTTGTTAATCTAGAAAATAAAATAGATTATAAATCATGTGTCTCGATCGTTTATTATCATCCTGTGAACCTACAATGTCGATCTTTTTAGCATTTTCTGAAAAGAATAAAGCGAATTAATACACGATGAAAGTTACAGCACATGTAATATATACACCCATGATTCATCCTTGTTTATGTTCATTCTCACCGATAATAGACTTGCGTTTAGCCATCAATTCTTTCCGGATATATTCCTTAAAACGTAAAACTATTTGACCGATCATTCGAATTACGACGTCATCTATGCTTGATCTCAGGAGTAAATTCGGTAAGATCGTAACAAAGTTTTCAAACGCCTTCTCTCTGTCAAATGAAACAAGTATAAAAAACGTCATATGCTCTACAGGAACTAACGTATTTACCATATTATTCTATTTAAAACGATTACCTGTGTAACTCGATTAACGTGCTTTCCAACATAACGTCACCGATAATCAGATACAAGTGTGATTGCACGTCTTTCTTCGGTAAACGAGTAGATGCTTCAATAATCAATCGTAAAGTATGACTTAAACTAATACAGTTGGTATACCAAACTGGACCAGCTCGCAAAAATAAAGTTCTTAAAAGTTTAATCAGTCGCGAGAACGATGCGGACGATGCGGACGAGTCGCACCACGTTTCAATAGCACCTGTGAAAGAGAAAGAGGTCATTGTGTTTTGTGAAAAAAGGCACGAGATACGTGAGGCAATATTACGTTACCATTTAAATATTTCACAACTGATACGCAATAGGTTTTGGTAGACTTGGGAAATTGTTCCTTCTTGTTAAACAGAGATGTAAACCATGCGTGAATTTGACAAAGTCCCAAGTTCTGTTCCAAACATCCGTCCATACAATCCCCTTGAGAGAAATTCTCTTGATGTTTTCTGGATTCATGAACAAATGGCTTTACTTTACCATATGGAAAACTCGAAAGAAAATTCTTCATATATGCATCGTGAAATGTATCTTTAAACCAATGCCTCGTACGCGCGACGTCATAATCGTTGCAATCCAACGTATCAATGTATTCCACAATCGATTGTACAATCACGACGATACTCGTCAATAATGCAGCTGCCTCACTCGAAATCGTACGTTCTGTGTAACTCGACACTTTTTCATCCGGGCATACTTCAAGCCAAATATCAGACATCAGTGGCATCAATAAATCTACATATTTCATGACGTCTTCTACAGGTAGAGTTTCTTTCACGCTACTACTACCTATCAAGCTCACATCTTTGTCAAGATTACGTTCACAAACTCGAGTCACGTTATCGCTATAAACGGGAATATATCTGGTATATCTCGTCGCTCTCGCGATCGGAAGCACGTTCGACCGCGCATCAATACAAAGCTTTCTATAGCTTACTATAGAGACAAACATATTAGCTAAACGTTCCAAAACTTTAATTCTCCATTTTACATCCGTGCTCTTGGAATTTAGCGTCGTCGTTAATCGTGCCCCAGGTCTAACTTGCTTGTGTACGCTACATATCATACCCAAAAAATTGGGTAATATTTTATGGCTGTCTCTCGCCACAACACTATCGCAATTCTTTACGAGAACATCCAAGAAAAGTAGAGAATCTTCCTTCACACGTGGATCAATATGTGTCATGGCACAGCTTAAATACGATATTACAATTTCACGCAAGGGTGTCACGTGTCGCGTCAAAATACGGCCAAGAATAAAATCAAGCGCATGAAAGGAACTTGTTCGTACATTTCTCTCTTTATCAAGAGATAAAGCCGCAATACCACGTAACAAAGAATTCACGTGCGAATGTAGAGTTTTTGGAGAATCCCGCGACAAGATGTCTTTCAATTGTCTCAACGCATCTTCTCTCACAGTCGAATTGTGATGCCGGAAACGCGTTAATAAATCCTGGAAAAAAAAAATTTTATATATATATATATATATATATATATATATATATCCACTACATTACCATTCGCAAATTATCATTCACGTAACTCGTAGAAATTAAATGTAAATTGATTTACGTACATCGATATTCAATTTGCGAGAACTGAGAATTTCCGTTTCACTCCGTTGCTTTAATTGTTCACGTATCAGTATCTTCTTTACTTTAAACGACGTATCCGTAATATTCAAGCCTTTTGGTAACGACGTGACGGATCTCTTAGTTTTCAATTTTATTTTCGACTTTTCTGATTTCAGGCGTTTCGAACGTTTATGACCTTTACTCATATTTCTGATATATATGTATCGTATTACGGACAAAATAATATCGCATATAGGTTGTTAAATTTCCTTTCGGAGTGGATGCTTCCAACTCTAAAAAGCTATATGGCACACGTATATTTAGATTTTGTGTAACAAAATTATAATAACACAACGTGAGGTTATTTGACTCGCACTCGAAAAGTAGCATACAACCATAGATATAGTTATAGACAGAGAGAAACCTGAGAGCGGCCAACCGGGCCAACCTAGAGATCCACAAGAGGTTTGTTCGCGTTGCATACTCCAATAAACACCAAGAGCACATGGATCACGGATAAAAGGTGGCGATTGGAGCAGATGAGTTTTTGGAGTGCGTTGGAGTGATTAGGAGCATGGTGGGGCATGCGACGCGAACAAAACTAAGGATTGAGATTGGACACCATTTATGTCCATTTCTATCAACGCAGGTTAATTTTGATCTTGGTTTAACTTAGGCTGAGTTTCCACTGAGCGCGTCACGCGTCGCGTCGTCACAAGTTAACCAATCAAAACATCCCATTTCATTACATTCTTGTGACGGGATCGAAATGGGATGTTTTGATTGGTTCAACTCGGACGACGCGACGCGTGACGCGCTCAGTGGGAACGCAGCCTTAGGCTCAGTGGAAACTCAGCCTTATGCTGCGTTCCAACTATACGCGTCGCGCGTCGCGTCACGACGCCGCGTCATGAGTTATCCAATCAAAACACTTCATTTTATGACGTCATTTCCGACAAGATCTGGCGCCGATTTGTTATTCTGCAGGCCCGCGAGAGTTAGATTTAATTTAAGTTTTAAGGTGCCTTTTCATGCTGACGCTCGACGCTCATTTTCAGCGGCAAGAAGGTCGCATGACCACAATTGACGCCGGTGTCAATTGAAATTCATGAAAAGGAAAACAGCGTCAAAATTTCGGCGTCTTCGCGCTGCTTTGGCTTTAACGCTTGAAGTTGAAAAAATCCAACTTCTCTTTCTTGACGCTGGCATCATAGTGATGTCACGTGACGTCGCTCAACGCTGTTT